CATGTAAGACCAGTGAGAAGGGTATTGCAATAGTCAAGGCGAGAGAGAACAACAGCATGAACCAGTACCTTAGCTGCGTCCGGCGTTAGATATGGGCGCATGCGCGCAATGTTCTTGAGTTGGAAGCGACAAGATTTGGCTATCGATTGGACATGGGGAGTAAAAGAGAGATCAGAATCAAAGAGAACCCCTAGGCAACGAGCCTGGGAGGTAGAGGTGATAGTAGCGCCATTGACTTGGATGGAGACAGACACAGGAGTAGCAGCACTTGAGGGAGGGAAAACTAAAAGTTCTGTTTTGGACAGGTTGAGTTTAAGGAAGTGAGCAGCCATCCAGTTGGAAATAGCAGAGAGGCAGTCAGAAACACGAGTCAGGGTAGGCGGAGAAAGATCAGTGGAAGAGAGGTAGATATGCAAAGCCAAAGGAGCTGATGAGTTTACCAAGGGAGGCAGTATAGATAGAGAACAGTAGGGGGCCGAGGACAGAACCTTGGGGGATGCCGACAGAGAGGGGTTGGGGAGAAGAGGCAGAGCCAGAGAAACACTGAAAGAGCGCTGGGAGAGGTAGGAGGAGCACCAGGAGAGAGCAGTATCCCGTAGACCAAAGTTACGGAGAATGTGAAGAAGCTGTTGATGATCAACAGTGTCAAAGGCGGCAGAAAGATCAAGGAGGATTAGGATAGAGTATTGACCGCGAGACTTAGCAGCAATTAAATCGTTGGATACTTTGGTCACAGCAGTTTAGACAGAGTGACCAGCGCGAAATCCAGACTGAAGGGGGTCAAGCAGAGAGTTGGATTGAGAAAGTCTGTCAATCTGGCGTAGACAACTCTCTCGAGGATCTTGGAGGCAAATGGCAGTAGCGAGATAGGGCGGTAGTTGGATGGGGAGTTGGGATCAAGGTTGGGCTTTTTCAGAACTGGGGTTACGGTTGCATGTTTGAAGGCAGAGGGAAATGTGCCAGAGGAAAGGGAGAGATTGAAAATGTTAGCAAGAGGAAGAGCAAGAGAGAGAGACAGAGTGCAGATGAGATGCGAGGGAATGGGATCGAGGGAGCAGGTGGTGGGGCGGGAGGACAGGAGCAGAACAGAAACCTCTTGTGCTGTAGCAGGTGCAAATGAGCATAGGATGGCAGGGGGAGTGGGGTTGGGTGATGCATTGATACTGGTAGGAGAGAGATTAGAGATCTCTTTCCTGATTGTAGAGATCTTCTCAGTGAAATGATATGCAAAGTTTGTAGCAGACAAGGTGGTGGAAGGAGGGGGAGTCACAGGGCGAAGAAGAGCATCAAAAGTGTGAAACAGGTGTTTGGGTTGGTGGGACAGTGTGCTTATGAGGATGTTGAAGTAGTTTACTTTTGCAGAGGAAAGGGCCATGCTGTAGGAGCGCAGCATAAATTTATAGTGGACAAAGTCAGATGCAGAGCGAGACTTTCTCCAGCAGCGTTCAGCAGTTCTGGAACATTTTTGGAGGTAACGGGTCAGCTTGGTGTGCCAGGGTTGTAGTTGGGGGCGCTTGCTGCGTTTAACTGTAGGAGGTGCCATGATGCCAGCTCAGTGGGCCTATACAACACCAGAGGAATATGCTCAACCTGGAGGGCTGCATGTTCAAATCCCCCATCCCTACAGGCCAAACAAAAGCAATACAATTGGAATAAGGATAGGCATATTGTAACTAAAGCAATAAAAATGTACATAAAGCAATAAAAAAATTTGAAAGTATGTTAATTTAAAAAAAAAAAAAAATAGTGAGTAGTTCAGAGGTTTTGCTAGGATGTATTTAAACTAGGAGGGGGGCAAAAGGGTGATAAAACATCAATCCAATTGTCCCCCAAAACAAGGACAGAAGGTGCCGGTAGCAAGTGTGTTAAAAAATGATAAGCTTAGAGTCATGTCTACAAATGCTCGCAGTTTAGGGAATAAGATCCATGAACTTGTGGCAATAATGGCAACTGATAGTGTAGATTTAGTCGCTGTTACTGAGACATGGTATAATGAGAAAAATGACTGGGACATAGCAATACCAGGGTACTCTTTATATAGGAAAGATAGGGAAGGCAAGAAAGGGGGAGGGGTGGCCCTGTATGTGAAGGATAGCATAAAATCTAGCCTAATAAAGGTTAGTGAGGCAAACATAGAGTCCGTTTGGGCTACGGTAGAATTTGGTAATCACACAGTAACTCGTGTAGGTGTGATTTATAGGCCCCAAGGACAAATTGAAGAGTTAGATAATCTACTAGTTGAGGGAAATAGCTAAAATGACAATGAAGGAGGAAGTTATCATCATGGGTGACTTTAATCTTCCTGATGTAAATTGGAAAACAAAATTAGATACTTGTGCCAGGAGCACACATATTCTAAACTCCCTACTGGGATTGTCTCTAAAACAAGTTGTTGAGGAGCCAACTCGTAAAGAGGCCATACTAGATTTAGTGTTAACAAATGGAGATTTGGTATCAGATATTACTGTAGGTGAAAGTTTAGGATCCAGTGATCATCAGTCAGTGTGGTTTAATATAAGAACAGTGACTGAGTCACACCACACAAAAAACAAAAGTTTTAGACTTTAGAAAAACTGACTTTTCTAAAATTAGAATATGGGTAGAGGAGTCATTATCAGACTGGAGCAATTTCAATGGACTCCAAGAGAAATGGGATTATTTAAAAGTTGCACTATTGAAGGCAACAGAAAATTGCATTAGGCTTGTCACCACTTTGGTACTCCGCAGATGTGGCCAAAATAGTTAAAAACAAAAAGTTAGCATTTAGGAATTATAAAAAAAACCAGAGTGAGGAAGACAAAATGATCTATAAGATTAGGCAGAAAGAGACTAAGCAAGTTATAAGAGCTTCCAAATCACACACAGAAGAGAAAATAGCACAGTCAGTAAAAAAGGGGATAAAACATTTTTTTAGATACATAAACGAGAAAAGAAAAGTAAAACAAGGATTAGTTAGATTAAAAACAAAAGAAGGAAGGTATGTAGAAGAGGATAAAGGTCTAGCTGACTGCCTCAATAAATATTTTTGTTCTGTATTTACAGATGAAAATGAAGGAAAGGGACCTCAGTTAAGAAAAAGGATAAATTAGTCATTTATTACACATGAGTTTACAGAGGAAGAGGTTCTATTTCAACTGTCAAAAGTAAAGACAAATAAGTCAATGGGACCTGATGGAATACACCCAAAGCTATTAAAAGAGCTTAGTGGTGTACTAGCAAAACCATTAACAGATTTATTTAACCAATCATTGTTAACAGGAGTAGTCCCAGAAGATTGGAAGTTAGCGAATGTTGTGCCCATTTACAAGAAAGGTAATCGGGAGGAGTCGGGCAACTATAGGCCAGTAAGCCTTACTTCAGTAGTGGGGAAAGTGATGGAAACCATGTTAAAGGATAGGATTGTTGAGCATCTAAAAACACATGGATTTCAAGATCAGAGACAGCATGGGTTTACTTCAGGGAGATCATGCCAAACTAATCTTATTGATTTTTTTGATTGGGTAACTAAAATTATAGATCAGGGTGGTGCAGTAGACATTGCTTACCTAGATTTCAGTAAGGCTTTTGACACTGTTGCACATAGAAGGCTTATCAATAAACTGCAATCTTTAAGTTTGGATTCAAATATTGTTGAATGGGTAAGGCAGTGGCTGAGTGACAGGCAACAGAGGGTTGTAGTTAATGGAATATATTCGAAGCTTGGACTTGTCACCAGTGGGGTACCTCAGGGATCTGTACTTGGACCCATTCTCTTTAATATTTTTATTAGTGATATTGCAGAAGGTCTTGATGGTAAGGTATGTCTTTTTGCTGATGATACTAAGATATGTAACAGGGTTGATGTTCCAGGAGGGATAAGCCAAATGACAAATGATTTAGGTAA